GTTCTTATAATATAACCGGACTGAATTTTTCGGCAATCTGGTCAGACATTTTGGCCATCTAATTTCGAATTGTATAGGTTATGCAAATAAACCATCCGTCTTAGATTTCTTTGAACAGAATAATTCTTAAAGTTCGGTGTATCTACTCTCTCATTATTTTAAAGGTCCGATGAATTAGTTTGATACTGGTAAACTTAAATGCAAATAGTGATGACATTACCATAAAAACGGGATGCAATTACATTCGAAATGATTATGTATGATGAATAGAAAAATATATTTATAGCATTTGAACTGGTATATGACTTTCAAAAATGTATATGTGCATTAGTTAGGTGGCTGTTCGGCCTATGCTCCTCCACGAGGGGTAACAGATATAAATAAGTAAGTTAGGTGGCTGTTAGAAAACATTTATTTTATATTTTTTTTGAATAATGGCAATTTCAATACAAAGTGGTGGTTGGAGATAGTTGACAGGACCTAGGTTTCTTGCTATTGAGAACTTGTCAAGGCAGAAACAATATGCATATGATAATTTGAGTAGGAAATTAAAATAAATACTGAAACATCATGGAGTTGATAATTTAATGAAATGTTATGTAGCAGAAATTCATACTCACCACAAAGACTACAAGTTTCTAGGTCATATGCATGTACTGTTGTGAGGGGTCAGATATGGATAAAATTAGTTTGACTGTTTCTTTATCCTCCATATCATGTCATGAAAAATATATTACCTAATAACCATAATAAATCGAATGATGCTTTCATCAAAGTGTTTTCAAATGAAGTTGAGACATAGTAGTGGTTCAATCTTATTTCACTAGTTTTCATCTGAATAACCTGAAAAGTAACGTTTAGATGTCCGTCCATATAGCAAAAATATTTTTCACTGTCAGGATCAATCAATCAATCAATCGAATCTCGCGAGTGCGGGATCGTGAATTCGCATTGCTGAGGAGTCCCATAATAGGACGAAACGGCTGTTCAGTGCTTCCAGGTTTTCCATGGTGGTCTAGCTTCAATTAACTCACGCTTCCAACTATGAAAATACTAAATCTCCACAAAACCCCTCCTGATAATTAAAGTTAGTATTAATTACTATTTCAAACATCATTGATCGCTAGTGATTTGTTTTTTAAGTGATTAGAAAGCTCTAGAAAAAGCATTAAATTAGGAATAATGCTGGGTACTGGGTTGTTTTAGGTAAGGTTTCATATCTAACATCATAAACATCCTAAATCTTTCTGTACTTTATTTATTTATTATTTATTTACACACACAAATATTGGTACAAAGAAGCACCAAATATATATGCGCCGCAAAAGTCTCATTTGATTTGTGTAAGGGCTGTGATACTGCCCAGGCGCCAAAACTGAAGCAGGTGGTTTTCTTAGGGAGCCACACCCAGAGCCTTTGACCTAAAGGTCTGATCCCCAAGACAGTGAGGCATCGTAAGGAGAGGCCGTCCCATGGTGGCCGGTGACCAACGATTGATTCATAGGCCATTTGTTCCTACAGGATACTGTCACCCATGTACACCATTGGTTTGGAATCAGGGTCATCCAACTCCCCTAGGTGGACGTTCCATCTCCACCAACCCGGTTAAAGCTCTGGATCCACGCTTTTCGCCTTCTCAATTTTGTAAACAACACCCCTGCAGAGAGAAGGCAGTGAGTAGGACTTCCCTGACAGAGGCTATATACGCGTGGCCATATCAGAGCATTTGGAGAGGGGGAGCGTACTCTGCCCACTCTCGGCCATACCAGGGCATTTAGGGGCAAAAGTGTAATCGAGCCTGCCAAGACTTACATTCTTCTGATGCTGCTTATTGAAGATAATTATAAGCTAACAAGATTATTGATCATTACAGTATATAAAAAGATATTGAAACGATACTGTAAAATGATGTCACCATCGATAATGCATCTTGTCAGCGTTATATGCTTTACATTATTAACACCATCGCAGTAGATGTTCAGTTAAAAGATTTTGTGAAACCTGATTTTTCAAATAGTGTGCTCTAATTTATTTCTTTTTCAATGTTACATTCATTTTGTATCAACTTGATGATGCTTATTAATTGGTATGTATTGCATGTGCGAAATTGTTTCATGGTTTAGTCAACTAATCAAGTTATATTAGCTGAGTGCATGTAACACTATAAGCAAAATGGATTTGAGCTGAAAGTAGACAAATCGATAGCGAATATAACTGTCTCCTCCCTTCCTCAATATCTAAAGTATTACCTATCTAAACAAATACCAGAAAGCAAAGTTTAAGCAGTGATTGATAAGAATTAATATTTAGGAAAAAAATATTACCTTCTAGAAACATTTTAAGTTATATAAAATTATTATGAGAAAGTGATAAAATGGATTATGGTAATTAGTTCAGTAAAAGAATGAACTGTTCTACAAGATTATCTGAACCACGTAACAGCACGAGGTCTTGAGTGCTGTTAGAGGTATGAGGGCAGTTATCACTTCCCGGTTGCCCACACCGTGGAAGGGTTCTTCTAGAGGTACCTGAAAAGGAAATTGTGTTAGAAGTGGTCTTAATGACCTGAGAGCGTGACCGCAGTGCCCAAGGGACAACTGCTTGAGGTCGGTCACACACCACCTTTTTGTGGGTAGTTTTTGTGTTCTTCCGTTCTTCAAAGGACCTTAACGCCGGAGACGGATATCCGTGGGATAAGGCGAGGTGTGCATTTTTAGGGTCGATCTTTTCTAACCCTACCTGTCCTTGTGAGAAGACAGCATCGCTGTCATGCTGGTTGTCTGAGGGAAACACCTTAATGCCGTCACACCTCTGTAAAGTCATCAGTACGACTTCGGACCTTGGGTTTGCTGCTTTTAGTCTTACCGCTCTTCAACCAACCTGCCTGGCATGGTAGGACCTTGAGTAACGATTGTTCCAGCCAATATAGCTCGACTGGTTCATCACGATAGGCAAGCCCGACCACCACATCAAGGTAGCAGCAACGGTCGGTAAAATCTAAAGTAGAAAAATTAGTAAAACTGGCGAAGTCTTTAATAACCATAGTAAATACTTTAGGAAGGCGATGGGAATGCAAAGTTATAAACTCTCTAGAACGACAGTTGTCATATCCTGACCAATGAATATATGTTAAATATTCTCTTTGGTAAAGTGATAGACTGATATTTAACAAAAGTTTGTATAAAGATAGAACTGAAGAGCTATTATTACTATTTAGGCATTTCACATGCCGAGTTGATTGAATTAGAATTAATTAAAGTAATATGGTGTGTCGACGTCATACCATATCATATTCAGATTTGTAACGGACAAGTCATCTTTGTGAGGATGTAGTAAGAAATTAAAAAAAAACCGTTCAGTGAAGAAATCTTACCGACTTCATTTATTTGTACTCCACCACAATTCTATTTTTAGTCAGTCCATTTACTGAAAATAGTAATTCACAATCAAATAAAGGGATACTATATCATTAAAGGGTGGTTAACGACAGTATTCAACGCTTTTTTATATTTTTTATAGATTACTATTTTAGTGGATAATTTAACTATAAATAGTAGTGTATAACATAAGTTGCCCGAAAAAATTGTCGGAAGCAATTTTTTCTCTTTGATTTATGTTCATTTTTTTCTTCAATAGTATAATAGAATTCATTCGCTACTTAAATAATGTAGTGTAAGGTAATTCTACTCCAATTACAAAATTCATATTTAACATTTACAGTTAGAAAGCAGAAAATGAAAGCAGAGGACATGGGACAAAAAAGATTGCTATAACCGTAAAGATTTATGGAAATTTTTACATCTTACAGTTCACATCACAGATTAGTCTTGGTTGAATAATCATGAAAAAGTAGGAGGCATTGGACAGTCATTTCTTATGGCAAGCTGTGACTAATGGAGCCTAGCCAAATAAAGTGTGTAACACAATTACCAACCAAATCAGTTGGGATATAGTCGTGCAATACAGAGAGTTTAATGAAGTTAAACATGTAAACCCTTTGGTACTCGAACAATAGTCTAAAGGTTGGGCAACCACGGGTGAGATCAAAGATTCTGGGTTCAATCCCTGATGGCTTGTGAATTTGCACTGTTAAAGAGTCCTCTATTGCGTTCAAGCAACTATCCAGTGCTTATTAGTATACATAGGTTGTTTAACTAGGATTAATCTATGATGCAAACCGTAGAAAATAATTACTATTAAAAGTCTCACCACGCGCATGCAATTAATTATTTCTTAATATACTGATTTAATGGCGGAGAAGTAGCCTCTTCAGTTTACAATGGTTGAACAGCTTGAATACGGTTTTTCAATGACAAAATTTATCCTGAAAATAGGCTAAAATCTTAATTAAATACATTCATTCACATAAGTGGTCAGTAAAACATTAAAAGCTTTATATTTTCTAAACGTAACTGTTTTCAGATGGGGTTTTGTGGAGATTTCAGTATTTTTCATAGTTGAAATCATGGGTTTCATTGAAGCTAGACCACAATGAATAACCTGTGAGCACTGGACGGCCGTTTCGCCCTATTATAGGATTCCTCAGTAGTGCGCATCCACCAGGTTTTCCACACTAGTGACTGACTTCAAAATACATGTCCTGGAGTTCTAGTAGAAAGCAGTGATCAGTGGAGTTCAACCACGTCTGCTGTGAGATAACAACTTACTGAAAACAATTGGTGAACGGTTGTTCATATTTCGTGGATTGGTTGAAGAAAGACATTAATACCCTGGATGCCGGTCGGCTCAGTGGTCTATCGGTTAAGTGCTTTGGCGCGAGACTGGTAGGTCCTGGGTTCGAATCTCGTGAGGCGGGATTGTGGATGCGCGCTGTTGAGGAGTCTAATACTCGAACGAAACGGCCGTTCAGTGCTTCTGGGTTTTCCATAGTGGTCTATCTTCAATTGACTCATGATTTCAACTATGAAAATTAACTATTTTCATTGTTGGGGAACAAATATATTCAAAGAACTTTTTATATTCTTCCTTCTCATTATTAGTTATCTAATCAATTCAGTGATATTTCACAACAATTACCTGGTCATAATCCTTTCTATGCATTTGAACAATCAAATTTACCAATTCCTAACCCAGTTCATCCTCATTCTCATTCTTCTCATCAGTATCAACACCAACATTATGGTATGGATCAATCAACAGATCAACTACACAACTCTGTCAATGATAATGTAATTCCTAATGAAATTCCCATTAATACATTACCTCACAGTGATTATATCCTGTCACAACAACAACAACAACAACAAAAAAATGAATTATATTCATCAATCTTTTCAGAATCTAATTATTTTCTATCCAATAATACGGTAAATACTTTACCCAATATACAACACCATCTACCTGAATCATATCAATCAGTGATATGGTTAAATCAAGAACATTCACAAATACAATTACAAGACCAATTACATTATACATCAGATGGATTAATGACAACACAGAATCATAATAATTATTCAGTAATCATTAGTAATGTAAATAATAATAATATTAAAGCAAATAATGTAGAAATGGATACGATTGTTCCTGTCCCAGTCGAGACTATATCAACCCCCATTGCTGATAGTACAACTATTCATGTTCAAGACAGTGACAATGATGTTATCATGATGCGACCTATAGTTGAACAGTCAAATCATTTTGAAACATCTGAACGTCTGTCTGGGAATACTGTGATATCAAATGATTTAATTGATCATATCTATTGTAATAGTAATAGTGGTATTAATAATAATAGCGAGACTACTGTTACTGCTGCTAATAATAATCATCATCACTATGATACAAATATAATTCCATTACAAATTTATCCTACAATATTCCAACCAAATTATTCACCAGCTACATCATCATCATTGTCTTCGTCATCGTCCTCTTGTTCATCTTCTTCATTTTCATCATTATCATCATTGTCATCTTCAATGATTTTATGCACAGAAACATTATCAATAACTCCAGCAACAGCAAAATCATCATTAGTAACAACAACCATCACAAATATTTCACCTTCATCTTCTTCTTACTATACAAATCAAGATTATAAATTGACTGGTATGAATTATCATCAACAACATTTCAAATCGAACAATCCTACTGATTGTAATAACACTCTACTTACTACTACTACTACCACTACTACTACTAATAATAACAGTAGTAGTAATCATCCTAATGAGAAAAAGTGTAAAGTTTGCGGTGATCGAGCCGTAAATCATAATTTTGGTCAATTAACATGTGAATCATGTAAAGCATTTTTTCGACGTAATGCACATAAAGTAAGTTAATTATGAATGTAGAAGTATATGATGGTTGCCAAGTGTTATTTTGAATTTAGTAAAGTATTACTTACTTACTTACTTACGCCTGTTACCCCTCGTCGAGGAGCATAGGCCGCTCATCAGCTTTCTCCATCCAACTCTGTTCCAACCAATCCTTCCCTGTTATCTTCAGTTAACATTCATACTATTCATATCTGCTTCTATTTCCCGAAGTAATGTGCTATTTGGCCTTCCTCTTTTCTGCTTCCCTTCACTATTCCAAGTTAGGGATTGCCTTGTAATGCACACTGGTGATTTCCTTAATGTATGTCCTACTATCCACTTTCAACGTCTTTTCCTAGGAAGTATTAATGTTTTGGTTTTTAGAGGTAAACGTTAACTTAAAAAAAAGTTATACTTAAATTGATATCATCATAGGTATATTGCCTAATGTTACAGATACACATCCATTTCAGGCGATATCAATGCTCAAGTGAAAATATGTTTTACTATGCCATTGATACAAGGAAATGTATGTCATTCCTTGAGAATTAATTTTTAACAGTTGAGATCATGAGTCAGTTGAAGCTAGACTACCATGGAAAACGTGGAAGCATTGGAAGGCCGTTTCGTCCTATTGTGGGACTGCTCAGCAGTGCGCATTCATGATCCCGCTTCGCGAGATTCGAACCCAGGACCTATCAGTCTCGCGCACGACCGATTAACCACTAGACCACTGAGCCTACTGACATCCAACGGTGTTAATGTCTTACTTCAACCAATCCACGAAATTGAGCAACCATTCACCATTGTCTTCAGTGAACAACGATCTCACAACAGACCTAGTTAAACTCCACTGGTCCTGGGTTCGAATCTCGCGAGTCGGGATCTTGAATGCTCACTGCTGAGGAGTCTCACAATAGAACGAAACGGCCGTTCAGCGCTGCCAGGTTTTCGATGGCGGTCTAGTTTCAATTGAATCATGATCTCAACTATTGAAATTACTATAATATTCTCTGACAAGTGGACTGGGCCGTGTTGGTAGGTGTAGACTACCTGGTTGGGATTCGCGAGATGATAGCAACCGATGGTTAGAGACCTTGAATGACATGGCTCAAAATCGTTTGCAATGGCGCAGGTGCATCCACTCTTTGTGTTCTACTAAATTATAATCATCTGGATACTTAATGTCTCTATCCTTTCTCTCTTTCCAAATTTATTTCGATGGATTATACACCTTGAATTACATCTTCAAACCCTAATCTTTCGGATTATTGCTTGTACTCTTACTACTTCTACCACTATGGGATTTGAATCGACAACTTCATCTCTGTGCTAATGTGGTATGGCAACTCGTACTGATGTACGTACGTACTAAGCTCTACTTTGTTACTGACTGATTGAACCTTTCTTAGTATCTCTCAGACTAATAATTATACATCAGTGTAGATGTAAATCGTTTTTCCTTAAAATTCACAATGAAACTAAATAACTATCCTAAAATTTGTAATATACTATTATTCATTCTATCATTAATTTTGTTTGATGGTAGATATTGGCGGCCTGTTTAAACTTCTGGGCTACCTGTTCCTATCATCTAGATATTTCAACAAGTTATCTAATTTCGTTTGTTTTAATATATCATTATGCCTATTAATCGCACAATCTATTCAGGTGCGTTTCTGAAAAGTGTAAAACCTTTCGCTGTAAAGATTACAGAAAGCCTAATCAGAGATGTCGTGGTTGCTGGCAATGTGCGGCGAGAAGAATGTATATTATCTAGATGTCGATTGATTGAGCTGCTAACTTCTAACTGGCAATCACTCAATATTTATCGTCAGGAAGGACGAAGAAGTAATAAACGGAAACTTGTTGCAGTACTTTATGCTGAGAAATCTATGTTGTACCAAAATTATCAGATTGAAAAAAGCTAATAATAATAATATTAAATAAATATTTTCATAATAGAAATTGGTAAACATTCATCGAAACACTCCTACTTATGGATCGTATAATACTGTTGTATAAGTATATATAACTCGTAGACTTGTAGGTTCTTATCGAATAAGCTTTTTATCAATAGAGACGGTGTAGTGAACAAAACACGGGTGAGGGATAACCGAATGTATTCAGACACAAATTACAGACTATTTCACTAAATTCTGATAACCATACAGCAACAGGTAATTTGCAAAGTAACAATCAATTGTCTAAATCCTAACTGTTCCTTCTGCAAATATCAGTCCATCGTCTCTGATTTCATTGTTCATGCATTTTCCTACTAATTTTTTTCATTATCAGTCTTCTGCCAAAATACCTTCTATGTTCAACCATCACCATATACTACTTATATGGATATAAGTAGACCACACCACAACAGGATGAAACTAACTTCTTTATCTAGGTTTTACATGCTAGAATAAATGACATGGTTATAATAAATTATCTGAAGCAAGATTTTTATTTGATTAACATAGAAATTAATCATAATTAGTTTATTCTATTATAACTCATATGATGATTAATATTAGATCGTTTCTATTTTGCAACTAAATTATTAGTTTAGACTGAAAACTATGGAATATATAATTTTCAACTCAATGGTTTAAAAAGAGCAAAATCGGTATCGTCAGACTTGAAGTCTGAAGATTCGAAATTTAAAATTTTGATAAGATGGTGGTTGGAGGTGGTCAACAGGAAACCCTGGCACTCGTCAGAAAGGTTTACGGATAATCCCGTGTCACTCAGCTTCACAGTCAGAGACATTACCACTGAGCAAAGATGGATGGTGACTTGCAGTGGAATTTAGGATGCGTATTTCGTCTTATTAGGGACTCGTCAGCTGGATATACCTGCATCGCATAGTTGATGTTCACTCCAGGACTCGGATATAGTACCGTTCGCATCAAATGCCAATGGATTTTTCCTATTACGGAAATTCGGTCCAGTTTATCACATAAGGAGATGTTGAAATTATTTAAATTTCAGTTACATTTTACGATTAAGGTCTACAGTTGAAGAGGTTATAATTCTAATTTATCCATATACAATTATTTCATTTTGCAGTTTTGTATGTAAACACAATACTCCCGCTTACAATCTGTTATTGTCTTGTAAGAGTTTACTTTTTAAAAAGAAGTCGAATTTCTTTTTTGCTGACATTTCTAATATTTTGGCATTTTTTTTCTGTGTAATCTCTCTCTTACTGGATGATCGACAAAATGTAAAAAGAGGGATTATCTATACATATTAGTTATTTTCTAATGTATGTATGTATGTATTGTTACCAAAGTAGTCTGTGTTTTCTATTTTTTATTTATTTATTGGGAAAACAGTTATCTGAATCAATACATTTGACAATTTTCAGTAATCATTCCTATTGTGATCAGTTTATTGTAAATTAAAATATTTACTAAAATCTCTGGATGTGCACTGCTGAGGAGTCCCATAATAAGACGAAACGGTTGTTCAGTGGTTCCAAGTTTTTTCATGATGGTCTAACTTCAATTGACTCATGATGAAAACACAAATAACAATAGTAGTATTCATGGTTACGATTGTAAAATGTAAAGCATGCGATGAAAATTTCATCGAATTGTATAGTTATAACTTGAGTGAGAAAAGAACTGATTGATTTTTGTCTAAACACTTGTCAATTTATGTCTAGAGTTTTAGAACAATAATGTCAGTATGATCAAAAGGGGTTTTTGTGGACATTTAGTATTTTTATAGTTGAAAGCATGAGCTAATTGAAGCTAGACCACCATAGAAAACCTGAAAGCACTAGACGACCGTCTCGTCCTATTGTGGGACTCTTCAGCAGTGTGCATCTACGACTTTGCCTCGCGAGATTAAAACTCAGAACCTACCAGTCTCTTGGCAGAGCATTTAGCCGATAGACCGCTTAGCCGGCATCCGATGGTGTTAATATTTAACTTCAACTAATCCACGAAGTTTATCAACCATTTCACCAATGTCTTAAGCGAGTTCCTATCTCAATGTCAATATAGTAAAATAATTGTTTAGAATAAGTTGTTTATTTTAAGGTAACACAAAATTTAAATGAAGCGATATATCAGCTGATAAACACGGTATAAAAAAAAAACTTAAGTTGTTTGAAGCGTTTCATATGATGAGATATCGCACTTTATTGACAATCTATTCAACTGAAGGTGAAGAAGTGGAGAAACAAGCCAATATCAGATATGACATGTATTTGATAAACCCTCAGTGTGTAGATTCGTATAAGTTTCCTGGCTATGGTCTATGAAATGTTAAGCATCAGTCTAACATTTCCATTTTTAATCCTTTTCTTTTTTTTCCACATTGATTAACTCTTTATTTTTGTGTTTAATACAGTTTAATCTTTGAACCTTAATTTGTTATCTGTTACGTAATGTGGAAATCCTGTTGAACACCATTCGACTTAGAATTTCACATTCATATATCGGTCTACCTATTTGTTCACTTATCTGTTATGTTACAATAAATATTTATCATATTAGGTGAACTAGAGAAGTTGTTATATAGGCTTATCTACTATGAAAAGTACTCAGTAACAATATTTTATGATTTACGGATTAGGAAGAAAGATTGGGAAAAAAAAGTGTAACCAACTAAGTATTGACGATTAATATCATAAGGATATTTGTTCTGGAATCTTTTTTTTTTTCAAAATTTTAATCCTTATGTTTATAAATCACAGCTTACTGATGTATACAAGTATATATTATCTATATATCTATATAGCGTCAATCTATAGTAATATAAACTGGACAATTAAACTGTAATTTATACAATCAATCGATAATTATAAAACGATAACCCAAAGTTTACATTTGGGTTTATATCTATATCGTTTCTCAGTTTTCCACTTTTGTTACTATGCCTATTAAAACACAATCTCCCTCCCCCCCTATATGCGTACACAATTACAAGCACTTATATATAAATATATAGATATATAGAAATATTCTTTCTGTATAAAATGAGGTGATGGATTTGCATCATATAAACAA